CCGGCGGGGCACCGGCTGCGCCAAGTGCGGATGGGCCCCAGGGTCCCAGGACTGCCAGATGCTTGGAGAGGCCCGTGGTGGCCCAATTGAAGGACATGGGTGACATAGACGGGTTCCTCAGCTCCTTTGAGAGGGCCTGTGGGCTGCAACGGGTTCCCCCAGCTGACTGGCTGCAGGAGCTCATCCCCGCACTGAGCCAGGAGGCGGCCGGAGTGCTCAGTCAGCTGGAGGACCTACAGCCAGGGGATTACAACCGAGTCAAGGAGGCCCTGCTGCACAAGTTCGGGCTGACCCCCGAGATGTACAGGAAGAAGTTCCAGGGGGTACAGAAAGGGCCACGGGAGACCTATGTGGATCTGGCCTCCCGCCTGTCACAATACGGCCGCAAGTGGGTGTCTGGAGTCGGAGCCCAGACCGCAGAGGAGCTGCTCAAGCTGGTCCTGATGGAGCAGTTCTATGAAGCGTGCCCACCCAAACTGAGGCTGTGGCTCAAGGACCAGATAGTGACTCATCGCTTGCCTGCTGTGGAACTACAGACAGCAGCCAGAGAGTTAGCAGGTTACCCCCCACTACGTCACAGCTACACCCTACTCCTCCCCTGTAGTACTACAGACAACTCTTGTCCCTACAGCCTCTACCCAAGACAACCTGCCTGCACCCAAGCACACAAGGGAAGGCCCATCTGGAACAATGTCCACAATCCTGAGGTCACCAAGTTCTTACCTTTGGGGGGCTGCAGTGTGTGCCCCGTCTCCTCAGCCCAGCCGGCAGGGTGAATGTTGGGGGAGTCAGCATTCAGCCAGAAATCATGGCATTCAGAGTAGCCGTCAAAGTGCAGGCGCATCCGGTAGCCACACACCTGCAGCAAGGAGGGAAGGGAAGTGGAGGATGAGAAGGCCCACAGCTGCACTGCCCCGTGTGTGCTTTCGTCCCCTCAAGCAACGTGCTTAAGAAGCCTGTCCAGCAGCCCACGCACAAGCACTGCAAGAGCCCATCACTTACCTCCTTGATCGCTTGCTGAGGAGGCGGGAGAGCCATATTAACACGCAGGTGGCAGGTATCAGGGAAATGCATTTGAAGTCTGGTAGATCTGTGCATTTAACATGGGAACAGGGCAAGCCCTGAGCCACTGGCCCCAGTACCTCTACTCTCAGCAACAGCCACTGAAAGGTTCCGACTTTACTGCCGGCCTAGCACACCAGGGCACAGGGTGAAACGGGCACAGTCAGCCCTGGTGTGGATCCAGGATTATAAGATCCCACAGTGGCAAATTCTCCCCTCTCTTTCTCCCAAGTGCTTTGCAAGGGGTTGCTGGCCTTGCAAAAATATCACCAGCAGCAAGAAACTAACAAAATGGCTGCTTTGTGGAGTTTCTCACTTGGAAGTATGATTGAGGGCCAGCCAACCTCGGGTTGACCTGATGGCCTAACAGGGTGACCTGTGAGTGGTCTGCTGGGTGCTTACCACACAGCATTTCCTCTCTCCTCCTGGAGTCCCCTCCCACAGCCTGGCTGTGAGCACAGGCAGGGAAAGGGCAGCGGAGGAGCTGGGAAAGGCAGGCAGGGGCTATCGGCCCAAAGCTGTGCCTGCGCAGGCAGACACGGAATGGCAGCGCCCTGCAGACCATCAGAGGAGAGAGGGTCTGGAAAAGTCTCCACGTGGGAGGAGTGGGGCAAACCACCCAGCTAGTGCCAAGTTGGAACTTCAGAAGTTCATCGACAGGCTCATGTGACTGGGCTCCCTGCAATAGCAGGAGACTGGATTTGATGACCCAGAAGGCCCTTCCAGGCCCACATCTTACCTCAGCTACAGTCAGGATGAAGTACATTGAAGGGTGCTGGGGGTCAATCCCCTCCAGTTTCATCCCCACCTTGAAGCCGTTCCTGTGCTGGGAGACTGCTTGGTACTGAAAATCAGAGAGAAACAGACCTGCTCCAATCACCCATCACAGCCCATCGGGTGCAGAGTCCTGGGCTTGCCCCAGGGGGGCTTGGGGTATCAAAGCCATTCTCTGTTTCCCACGGTTTGCTTCTCTCATTGCCAGCAGGGCAGGAATAGGGATGTTAAAATGTGTTTACATAAGTAACCGTGTAACAGCTGGAAAATCCAGCAGTTACTCAATTACGCACAGTGGTAGTTGGCTCCCGGAAGCCAGTGCATGTGAGGAACCGACTTTTAAGCTGGTTCCCTGTGCATGCCTCTGGTATCAGAGGTAGGAGTAACGGGGACAGGTGGGACCTGGTATGTGTGGGGAGCTGCCTTAAAAACTGGCTCCCCACGCGTACCGGGAGCCTGCGTGTAACCGTGATAAGTTAACCCACAAGCCAGACTCATCGGTTAACTGTGCACACGGCTACATGTTCACGTCCCGAGACAGGAAACACCACAGCACTGGTTTGCCTCGCACACTCGCCTCAGGGCCCTGTAGGCACAAGGGTATAAGCCGAGGGCTCATCTCTTGCTCGGACAAGTGCAGGAGAGAGGGAATTAGACTCACATTTTCCCAGCCAGTGGGCAGCTGACATTTTAGATAGTTCACAAAGGTTGGGGTGGGACCAGGGCCAACACTGTAAAGGGCACGGGCTGAGCAACTAGACTTGGGGGAGGAAGGGCAAAGGTCAAAGAGGGAGAACCAGGGCAAAGCTGGAGCGCGGGAGAGGAAGAGAGTTGGCTGGTTACCCCAGGGCGAAGGAACGAGATAGAGAGGAGAGGAGGAGAGAGAAGGGGAAAGGCAGGAGAAGAGGAAGAAACAGAAAGGAAAAGCCCAGCTGGCTTCCTGGAACAGATTTAAAGGGGCAGCGACGGCTTTCTGCTCCTCCAGGTACGATGCCCAGGACCAACCTTCTTTCTTCTCCTCGCTGGAACCTGACCTCGGCACAAACACACACACGAGTGACTCAGACGCTGCTGCAGATCTGGTTCGTTTCCTATGGAACTAGTCCTTGAGCTGGTCCAGGCAAGCAAAAAGCCAGACCAGCTCCCTCCCCCACCCCACACCTCACTTAGGGTCCCTCACCAGCCCCCAAACACTTTTATGGGCAAGGGCCAGCCCAGCGGAGCTGCAGCGGC